ATCTGGGTCTCTAAATATTTTTAAATTTCTTTTATTAACATATAATGTATTATTAGTCCCAGGGGTACAGGTCTGTGAATTGCCATCTAAATATTTTTAAGCAAACATGATTTCAGCTCTTCCTTTTCCCCTTCCCCTGAGGTTTCTGGTGTCCTGAATTCTTGACACTGTCTGGGATTCGATGAGAGCAAAGTGACTTGCTTCCTGACAGTCATTCCTTCTCCTCAGGCATTTAAGTTTCTTTCCTCTTTTTCTACTCAATAGTTTACCATTTTTCTTCAATGTGCTTTCTGCCTTCATATATTATGGTTCAAATTACAGAATCTTGAACATAGTTTCATCAAAGATGGAGTATGATTCTTTTGGTTTTTGTTCTCCTTGTTATTTGGGGATCTGATCTTTCTTGGAGAGAAGGAGGTTGAAATACCTCTATCTGCTGTCTTCACGTGGAAGTCCTCTATTTTGCCTTAATATCTTTTCAAAATTATGTCTGCAGATGACATATTTCCTCAAGTTCCTTTTCTTTTAAAATAAGGATTATATAAATTATTTATCAAAGGTATTACTGAATTACATTGTATAATTGCATATTTATTGTACTGTATACAATTACATTGTATAATTGTATACTAACATACATAACTTGAAATGAGCTTGTAATTAAGCACTCAGCACTGATAAACTACAGTCATATAAAAACTTATTATGGATAAGATAGAAAAAGGTAAATACATAACTCAAATATAAACCGTTTTGAGATTTTGATATATATTGACAATATAGAAAATATTCACCCATACTGTTAAAGCCAATACCTTATCACCTGGTTCAGAAGACTCTGTTACTGTTGGAATTATCCAGCAAAAACATTTGCTGGGCAAGCTGTTTAGCATTGATACAGTTTTTGTTTTTCAATACAGTGTGTTTTTCCTTTCTGTAATATTGTTTGAGTCCATTTGTATTAATATACACTGTAGGTCAGGTCTTAAAAAGCATAATCTTGTAAAGTAAGTTTTCACAATAATGAAGAGTATTTGTCTTGCATTAGACAAAGCATTAATAGACCCCCCCCTTTTAACCCTTAAAAATCCATTTGTGAAGCAGTTTTTTATGTTTCCCTTTAAGGGTTGTTAATCAATACATACTGTCTTAGTTTGAGCAGTTATTAAAAAAAAAAACAAAACAAAAACCATACAGTGGGTGGCTTAAACAGCAAACATTTATTTGTCACAGCTCTGGAGGGTGAGAAGTCCAAGATCAGGGTGCTGGCAGATCTAATGTCTAGTGAGGAACCCCTTCCTGGTTTGCAGAGAGACAGCTAGGAGAGGAAGCACGCTCTCTCTTCTTACAAGGGCACCAATTCCATTTCAGAAGGGCTCCACCTTCATGACCTAATTACCTCCCAAGGGCCCCACCTCCTAATTCTGTGACATTAAGGGTTAGGAAGTTAACATAGGAATTTTTTGAAAGAGGACGCTAACATTCAACCCATAACATATGCGTAATTCGGGACCATATAGCCACATGTATTGAAACTGGGATGTTTCTTCTTCTTGGATGTTTCTTACTTTCCTCAGGACACTAATAGTCATTATAATCAAAATCACAAAATAACAAGGTATTTCCACAATAATCACTTGTTTTGAAAGAAAAAAATATTTTATATGTTCAGAATTCTCTTAGATACCTTGTAATAATCCTTAGGAACCTATTAGCCTTTCTTGGCTAAATAAGCAATCTATTATCTATCTATCTCTATCTATGAAATATTAAACACATATTTATTCTTCTATCTTTATTGCTTACCTTATCATGAATACAAAAGTAACATTTTAAATTTGAGGTATTTTTAAAGTATGGAAAATAATAAAGAAAAAACATTATTACACAGTGAATAGAGATAACTACCTTTAAAAAAATCCATATTAGCATATTTCTCCCACCCTTTTTAAATGCAGAGATCACACTGACAACAGTAAAAGGAGGCCCAATTTACTGAGTACTTCCTGAAGGACACACAACCTCCTAAGTGCTTCACATATGTTGTACCACTATCCTATGAGCCAGGTATTTTATGCCTAATCTACACATGGAAAAACTGAGGATTAGTGACTTAAATAAATTGCCCAAAGTCATACAGCCAGTAATTGGCCAAGCTGAGATTTTGGCGCAAATTTGCCCAATGTTAAAGTCCATACTCTTTACCATTATGTTTATTTTCTTTGTTTACCATCATAACTAATTTTTCATGTCATTAATTAATCACTGCAAATATCATGTAAAGTAAAGTAAAAAATGTAAAATTTCTGTATGATTAGGCTTGTCTCAGGGAAGCCCTGCAGTCAATGAGCAATAATATATTTTTTAAATTTTGGCAAAATTTAAGAGCAAAAATGGAATATCATTTTTAAAGTTAAAATGTCTAGAGACTCTGAATGTTTTTATGAGCACATTAGGCATTTGTACTTCTAAAGATATATATTTCTCAAATAAGTACAATGTAAACCAGAAACTACAAGATGACTCTTCAGAACAAACAGTATTACCACCTCACTGATTCTGGTTATATTGGGCAGGTACAGTAGGTGGACATGTTGGAAGACCTAATTAAAAGATCTGAAAATAGGGGTGCCTGGGTGGCTCAGTGGGTTAAAGCCTCTGCCTTCGGCTTGGGTCATGATCCCAGAGCCCCGCATTGGGCTCTCTGCTCAGCGGGGAGCCTGCTCCCTCCTCTCTCTCTGCCTACTTGTGATCTCTGTCTGTCAAATAAATAAATAAAATCTTTAAAAAAAAAAAGATCTGAAAATATTTAGATTTATTCTCTTTCATTATTTGAGATCAAACTAGTTTAACAACATTAGAAAATCTATTCATTTTTGCCTGCTAAGAGTTGTTGTATTAATGGAGGTAAGACTAATAATAATTAGTATTTTAATTCTTATGTATAAAGGATTTGCTTAAAGCTCTAAAGAGAGTTGATTCTGAGACTTTAAAATTCTCTCCTTAAAATCTGGTTTACATCATTATTTTCATATCTAAAGAAAAAAAAGTAAAAGAAAAAGGTACTTACTAAGCAAAGATAAATGTTAACTAAACCCTTATCGAAATACTACAAAATCACAAAACTATAAAATTATAAAACAACCCTTATTTGAAATATCATAAAATCATGAATTAATGCAGTTTTTTTTTTTTAAAGATTTTATTTATTTATTTGACAGAGAGAAATCACAAGTAGGCAGAGAGGCAGGCAGAGAGAGAGGAGGAAGCAGGCTCCCTGTTGAGCAGAAAGCCCAATGTGGGGCTTGAACCCAGGACCTAGGATCATGACCTGAGCCGAAGGCAGCGGCTTAACCCACTGAGCCACCCAGGCGCCCCGAATTAATGCAGTTTTGATGCATTTCCAATTCTGATTTCCTCTCTAGCTACACTATTTTCACTGTAATCTATTTAACACAAGAGTTGGAGCCACTGATGCGTTCAGTTTGATTTATCTAGTGACAATACCTCAATTATCCTCCTAGGGAAAATTATTTTCTTGAGAGTAAATCTAATTTTAGTTTAATCCTCCAAGTAATTTTAATTCACTTTCTATATATCTTGACAAAAATAATTATGGAAGAAAAAAGCCATTATGAACATATTATTATGAAATGTAGAGAAAATATCACATCAAAAAAGAGACACATTTTCAGTTGGTGTTAGTGAATTATGACCTTGGGAGTTACAAGAATATGCCAGAATGATTTAGCACCTATAAACCATAGAAGTTTAAAGAGATGTATGGCTGATAAGATGGGAATTTTGTGATTTGAGAGGTAAGTAAATGGGCAGCAATATTTTGCCATCTTAAATACTCTGCCTGGTGTACTGGTAACATGGGCATTGGCTTAATATCTCATTTCCTGGGAGAAGCTTTAAACTTTATGTCAATATTTATGTAAAATTTAAGTTGTACATAAATATATAGTTAATTTGAATTTGCTGTTTCAGATGTCTGCATTTCCTGAGTTTTCTTATTAACAGTGTACTTCTCTTCATATAGGCTTGGCCTGAGATAACCAATCTAGATCATGTCTACAAAGGAAAAAAATTGTATACATTTTCACTATAAAAGATAACAACAAACCTCACAAATTTCCAGTAGTTGATATTAAGAAATGAACATCACTGGACAAAAATCATAAGAACTATGAAAGTGTGAGTTTCTGAGACTGAAGAAGATTTCCAGCTAGACCAGCCTATCATGTATGTTTTGTAAACACAACCTTCCTTGAAAGTGATTTGGCAAATATATCAAAATCTTAAACAAAGCATCATAATAATAATTACACATTATAACATGAAAAAAAAAGAAACATGATCAATGAGTTGGGAAAAGATTTATGACAGTGTTCTGTTAAAGCAAGATCTATGTAGTATGATGTCAACATACGTGTAAATACGCATTTGTACGTGTGCATAAACATATAAAGACCAAAGCTTTTTGACACTATTCATTTCTCAGTAGTGGAAATACTGGTGATTCTTCTTTGTATCATTATGTATTTTTCTATATTGAGCATTTGGTCCTTTAAAAATAAAAAAAAATTATTTAAAACAAATATAAGAAATAACAGCAATATTTCTTTGTTTTTCTTTTCATTATCCTTTAAAAATGCAAAATAAACCAAGGGAGGTCATTGTTACTAGAATTCATTTGTTCATTCAATTAAGAACTGTTTTTAAGCACTTTCTATATGTCAAACATTGTTTCAGGCACTGGGCATTCTGCAGTGAAGAAGATAAAGCTCACATCTGGGAGAGAAGCAAATGTTACCTCCATCACATAATGGTGAAGTGCTATGAATGAAATAATATTCATCAATGTGCTATACTGTAGAGATAGAAAACAAAGGTTATAAACTTATTTAGCAAAGAATATAAAAATTTCTCCTTTGATTAGTCTAAGGCATATAATTTTTCTTAATTAAAGAAATTGAAATTGCTTGATTACTTACCCCAATATTAAACATCCCTGTAAAATACTCCATATTTGCTTGAATGAACCAAATGTTGCTTAAACCTAGTTCATCACTTCTCTTCTTAGCACGAATTAATGACAATTCCTTGTTTTCTATTAATGTAACCTAGATTTCACCCAGGAAACAATAATACATTCAGTAACATAATTCAGACATTAAGGCAAAGTATTATTACTGTGTCTCTAAGTGTCCAGACTGTTGGGAAGGGAGAAAAAGAAACCATATATCCCTGATTCTGTTTCTCCACGGTTCTACTTTATGACCTTTCTTCCTCTAATTCCAAACACTAAGTTGTTACTTTCTTTTATAACAAAACAGACACCTGTTAGTCCCCCCACCCCTGGATTCCTTATTTATTTTGCCCTTTATTTTCGAAAAAAGTAAAAGAATAATACACTCTTACCCACCCTCTTTCCCCCAGCATTCTGTTACATGTCATTCTGGCCAGTCTATGAGTTCCTCCTCATCTTTTTCTTCTGTGAGGAATGACTGTAATTATTTTGCACCTTCCAGAAAGTTCACAAACAAAGAATCTGCCCCATTCATTTTGTGTTTTTTTAAAAAGTCATCAAATTCTAGACTTTAGGCTAAAAGATGGTAACTGCAAGGAAATGATTTCACATGGCAGAAGACTAAAAAATAAGAAATTTCTAACAAATGGTGGCAATGACTGCATAAATTATGGTACATTTCCTTAAAAACATACTATGTAGTTACATTTTGGTGATATTTTAATAATGATATTTACAACTATTTGCAATAGGGAAAAATATTTATGCTACAATACTGAGTTAAAGCTGGTGACTAAAATTATATTTGTATTTTTAGCATTTGCAGCAATAAGCATCCTCATGGACAACGACTTGATGAGAACATGGGGAGAAGAGCATTTGGTGGATGAGTGTGATAAATTTGGAACTTATTTTTTTCCTTAACAAATTTTGTTATTGTTGTTACAACTTTGGTACAATGGATAAAAATCAAGATACCAAAAGAATATGCTCAAAAAGTTTCAGAAGATAGTATTTCTGGTATAAAATTATGTAAACTGGTATCACCACTAATTATCTTATTTAACAACAGAATGGTTATTTCTTCTAAAATTTGTTTTAAAATATAACGCTTTTATAGAAATTGAAAAAGGTATTGTGATCCTACTATACTTTTTTTTTAAGATTCTTAGAAGTTTAGTTCAAAGGAAAAAAAAAAAACCAACAAAAACTACCTGTCTACCTGTGCCACATAAAGTGACCTGAGTGAATGATTATGAATTCAAAGAGCAGGGGTCAGACAGACTCTGCTAACTGAACTGGCTATATACTTTTTCCTTTATTTCCTTCCTTTCCAATGTTTTCTTTTATGGGTTATTTAGATTTTACCTGGCATAATGGCAGCATGTGAGCAAGGACAATCCCAACATGGCCCTGGAAAAGGCAGAAAAAGAAACAAGTTAATTTTGGCCCCTAAGGCTTTTTTCTCATTCTGAGACCGCAGTCTTGCCAAACGAAAACATGACTTTGAATGTACTACAGCGAAGTCACATAGTCAGGAAAAGAGTAAAGGGAACAAAAGGAGAGACGTAATACCCCGCCGCTGCAGAAATCCACAATTCTGTCACCAGGTTTGGCCTGATTTGTCACGATGTAAACAAGGTTGTTTAACTGCTGCTGCTTCCTCAGAGCCCGATCACTGGACATTTTACCTGGGGAAGACAAGAGATGAAGACCATGAAATGTTAGGCATCATGGGGGAGTGAGAAGGCACTCAGACTGCTGGCATCCAGGGAGAGGGGTAAATGTATAAATGAGTTACAAATTCCACATCATCCACCATAAGAGGACCAGAGGAGCAGAGAACTGAAACCCAGAAATGGACTTCAATGCATATTTTTACTTTTATTCATGTCCAACTTCTCTGTCAAGAGCCACTGAAAAAGCGTCTTCTAGAGAGGAAACAATAAGTGAAATATTAATGGCAGAGTCAGAAAGTGTTCAATAAATGTTTACTAGATGAATAAAAATTAACAGTGATAGTCTCTTGCCTCTATTATTATCAGAGACATATTACAAAGATTACCTAATTCTAGTGCATTGTTTAAATCTCTTTGGACAAAAGAGATCCATAACAAATTTTAAAACATTTTTCTTATTTAACTGGCACATCCTTGAACTCTTAGCTTTTTTGGTTAGGAACGTTGGAACATAGGTGTCACATTGTTTGAAATATATCAATAGTTGGTGTATTTAGAGAGAAATTAGATTTTACCATTTCGGCTTTGAAGCTTCTTTTTCTCATGAGTCAGGCACAGAAATCTAATGCAATTAGAGATTAAAGATAGGGCATTTCCAAGTATGAAATGCCTTGGGCCTAGCAGCATGAAAACATCTTAACTTTCCTTCAAAGCCACTAGTTAAGTCCACTTCAGAAGATAACTTCAGAAGAATGAATGAAATTATTTGTTTTTACATATTTCACATGCACTTTTTGTAAGAGCAAGATTAAGAAAATATAAGAGAGCAGATTTCATTGATATAGTTAAATATCAAACCCAGATAATCTTTTGGCTTGATCAAAAATTATGTACAGTTACCAACATTTCCCTGCTCCATTTTCACAGAAAAATAGCCTGGCTTTTTTCTTTCCTTCTGTTTTCTGTTTTCCTTCTTTCTTAGGTTACAAAAATAAAACACTGGAAGCCCTTTATTTTTGGAAAAAATAGAAAATATGAATAAAAAAAATCTATATGAGAGAAAAAGATCCATAATCACGTAATTCAGAGCTGGTGTCTTTGTATATATGTACTTCCAGCTGTATCCATAAATTCATAATATTCTAGATGCTTATAAAACATTATATATATAAGATTGATATATATGTCAATGCATGTTTCTATGCTCTAAGTTTTAATGGCTGCATAGTATTCCATTGACTACATTGTAACCAATCTCTTATTGTAATAATGTGGTCGCTGTCATATAGCTAAATCATTATACACATTCTTAATTATTTAGCATGGCCTAATGTGAATTTCAAACATGAAGGGCATTTAAATCAGTAGCTGGTGACTTTATTTATGAATATAGTTTCATGTAGCTTTCTTTTCATTTTCCTCTAATAATATAATTGTAAAAAAATTAAACAAAATAAGTGAAAGCCCCTGACATCCTACCCTTCCTGGATTACCACTTCTAAGAAATTATGACAATTTTCAACACAGCAAAGTTGAAAGAATCTTACAGTGAATGTCTCTAAAACCTCCACTTAGATTCTACCATTAACTACTTACCATGCTTGGTTTAATCACACTGCTATTCATCTATCCATCCATTCATAAATCAGCCTTATTTTCTATGGCAATGCAGTTCTGATTTGGAAGAGGAAGAGTAACAACAGGAAGGGGAGGAGAGTGGCAAAAAAAGAAAAGTATTTTTGAGCCCTGTGGGAAAGCTAGAATCACAAATGCTGCTGTTTAATGGAGCCACCAAGAAACAAGAAAAAACACAAACATTTCAGTCTTCATTTTGTGGGTTTCTTAACATTTCTTAGCCAAAGGATTTTCATAAAGTCAAAAGGAATTACCTTTTGTTAAGAGTAAAGAGAGTAAAGAGAAAAGGGGCACCTGGGTGGCTCAGTGGGTTAAGCCTCTGCCTTGGGCTCAGGTCATGATCCCAGAGTCTTGGGATTGAGCCCTGCATTGGGCTCTCTGCTCATTGGGGAGCCTGCTTCCCCCTCTCTCTTTGCCTGCTTCTCTGCCTACTTGTGATCTCTGCCTGTCAAATAAATAAATAAAATCTTTAAAAAAAAAAAAAAGAGTAAGGAGAAAAGAAAATGTATTTAATGGAACAACTAAGAGAAAGTTGGGTACCATATTTTTATTAGACATTTAGAATTACCTAATTTCTTAGGTTTGCTTCAAAAGCAAATGTTGATGAAGATCTGTTTTTCTTGCTAAGTTTGCATCTTTGCATATAAAGAATTCATGCTGATATGAAGGTTGAAGGCAAAGAGGTAATTTTCAGGGTTGTATTTAAATAGACACTATTAGGCTGCATGTAATATTCACAAATCGAGCTAAAAATACAGTAGCATGATGCTCAGATGCTTTATAGAAAAGCCACCTCTAATAAAGCATTCATCTGACCCATTCCAGTTTTATAAATATTATGAAGCTCCTGGAAACATGATCAGGATCTTAAATATACTGGACAAGGTAAGAAAGTGGTATTTTGAAATATGGTATTAATTTAAAAATCCAGTCCACTCTATTTATATCCAACATTCTTGTGCCTAAGACACCACTTATAAGCATAAATTTATAATCTATTTTTAGTTTGACTGAAAATGCTGGTTCCTTAAGAGCTATCACAGAAAAAGAAATCCAAGAATCAAATGGTCAGATGTTTTAATACAAATGATCTCATTTGTTCTGTGATGTAATTCTCCCACAGTGAAGTCTTTCCCTTGTCTAATTCAAATTAGGAGGAACCTGATTATTTAGACAACTTCTGTGTTGTTTGCATTGTCCAAAAGAAAGATACAAAGGTAAAGGAATAAATTTTTAAGCAATGGAAGAGCAATATTAGAACACTGGGCTGGCTCACTTATGTTCTACAGGGCAATAGACAGTGAAAGGCAGGTCCCATCCCCAGGGTACCTATAGTTTTCAGGCTTGGAATATCACTTGGGCATCTATGCTAAGTATCTGTCTATATGCTGAGGATACATCTCAAAGTGAATAAAACATAGTCCTGGTCCTTAGGGAGCTAAAAGAGGATCTAAAGGAAGTTACAGGTGTTCGTTATATGCAAATGTATGTGTGCTGAAAATAAAGGACTAACTGAGACATCACTGAGGGCTTTACAGAGACTTGAGGGCATTTCAGCTGAGTCTTTAAGGAGGAACAGAAACTTGCCGAATAGAATGGCAAGGGAAAGTTTGCTAAGAAAAATATGACCTATTTAGGGGAAAACAGCAATTAGCTCACGTGCTTATGAATGAGGATTGATGAAGAAGTGGTAGAACATAAGACAGATCTGAAAATACAGGCATGACCAGATGGGAAAGAGCATTGCTCGTTATTTTGCCTCTCTTGCTATAGAGGAAACAGGGCCTCATTTTAATATTTAAGGTACTTAGAGCTCTTTAGAGACAAGTTTTACTTGAATAGACAGCATGGTTATTTTTACATTATTACATATTAAAGATGTTCTCTTATAATGCTTGTCTGCATTATTTTTATTCAGGATAGAGTATAGCCTCAAATCAAATCAGATTATTAATAGATTTCTTTGGCGGATTCAACCTCAACTGATGCTAATTATCATTACATCATTTAATTAAGAAAATGAGATAGAATCAACTCATTGGAACTCATTAGTTCATTTTGAACGCTGGTGTTTTAGATCAAGAAAGCCCTTGGACTCCTTATTGGATATTCCTTCTCACTCTCCTTCCCAGGCTCTCTTCCCTTGGTATAGCTCCGAAATGCTATGCTCACTAGGTCCTGTCTTTTGTGCCATAGCTTGTCACTGAGCATGCTTTTCCTGTGTATGTAACTAAAGTCCCTTCCACATCCACCCATTAAAACATCTCTTCTTTGCTTAAAATACCTCCAAAGGTATCTCTCTGCCTTAAGAAAACAATGTTTACTTCTTGGCAAGAAAACAAGTCCTCTATTGATCTGAGCCCTGCTACTCTGGCAAACTCAACTTCTGGAACTTTCCTATATATTCCCTATATTCCAGCCTTTCTGAACAATGGATAGTTCCTTGAATTCATCAAAAGGCAGTGAGGTGGTGCCTTTATACATTTGTTTCCTCTGCTTGAAACCAATTTTCTTGCTTTAGAACCTCAGAAACCCTATCAGCTTTCCATGCTCCTGACTGCATTTACATTTAGTATTTTATAATAAATTTTTCAAAAAGACAAAGAAAAAGTTATTTTGGTACTTTGGTACTACCCAAAAGAACTCATCTTTTATACTATAAAACAGTAGTATTGTTAAGTAGTGAAAAATTTTCTTGTTATACGCTTTTGGGTATCTTTCTGAAGAAAATGAAAACACTAACTCAAAAAGATATCTGCACCTCTGTGTTTGTTGCAGCTTTATTTACAATAGTCAAGATATGGAGACCACCTAAGTGTCCATCGATGCGTGATGGATAAAATGTGGTATACAGATTACAACTGAATATTATTCAGCTATACAAAAGAATGAAGTCTTGCCATTTGAGACAACCTAGATGGACCTTGAGGGTGTTTACTAAATGAAATAAGTCAGACGAATAACATATGATCTCATCATGTACATGTGGAATCTAAGAGAATAGCTTGATTACTGCCAGGTGGGCAGGGGGAGTGGGCAAAATGTGTGAAGGGAGTCAAAAGGTACAAACTAGCTATAAAATAAATAAGTCACGAGGATGTAATGTATAGCATGGCAACCATAGTTAAAAATACTGTATTGCATATTTGGAAGTTGCTAGTAGAGTGGATCTGAAGAGCTGTCATCACAAGAAAAGAATTCTATAACTATGTGTGGTTATGGATGTTAGTTAATTAGACTTATCATGGTGGTTATTTCACAACATATACAAATATCAAATCATTATGCTGTACACCTGGAACTAAAATACTGTATGTCAATTATACCTCAAAAAAAAATTTCAAATGATATGTAGGCACAATTAATTATATTAACTA